AATGCAAGAGTCAATTTAACACGGCTCTTCCACACAGAGCTGGAACATGTTCAACCCAGAGTGTGACCTCCCTGCAGCCCTGGCCCAGGCCCTCTCACAAGGAGGAGGCCAGGAGCACATGAAATTTAACAAGCTGTGAAGCCAGCCGGGCACAGAACCCCCGGCGTGGAAGGCTCCCCTGTGAAAATGCAGGAGGAAAGGCACAAAGGTTAGTCCCACTGGCAGGGAGAAGATAAGGTTGGGGGTGGAGAAGGAGAAAGGTGGAGTCAGCCAAAGGCAACAACAGGCCTTTCACAAATGCCTCAGAGCAACAGTGGGGAGGAGGAAGAAATAAGCTCATTAATAAACGAGAAGGGAAGGAAATGACTGCTTCAAGAATGTCTGGGGCACTGAACGATTTTAAAAATAAAACTAGAGAGGCCCTGCGTAAATGGCAGGGGATCCACATCCACCTGACAGCCCTTGGAGCTAACGCTAAGGGAGGACAGTTTGCACCAAGGGGCATGGGGCCTGAGATAAAGGAAGCGGTCACCTGGAGGGATGGGCCATCTCTCAAGCCAGTTCTTTCCCTCCTTTCTTTTTTCTTTTCTCTTCCTTTCTTTTCTTTTCTTTTTTCTTTTTTCTTTTCTTTTCTCTTTCTGCAGTCTCCCTCTGTCTCCCAGGCTGGAGTGCAGTGGTGCGATCATAGTGCACTGCAGCCTCGAACTCCTGGGCTTCAGCAATCCTCCCACCTCAGTCGCCCCAGTAGCTGATACCACAGGCATGTGCACCAGAGTCAGCAATTTTTTATTTTTTATTTTTTGTAGAAACTGGGCCTCTTTGTTGCCCAGGCTGGTCGCAAACACCTGGGCTCAAGCGATCCTCTCACCTCAGCCTCCCAAAGCACTGGAATTACAGGAGTGAGCCACTGTGCCTGGCCAAGCTTGTTACTTTCTTAGGGAGAGGACATCATAGTGGCAAGAGCACATGTCTTGCATTGGCCTCCACCAGATTTGAACTGGTCCCACCTCTGTGCCCTCAGGCAATCTCCCTAGCCTCTCTACGTGGAAGTGTCCCCATCTGTGACATGCAGCAAACAACAGCGCCTTCCTGTGCTCGCTCTTTTTGGGATTACACCAGACTGCAGGCGTGCTCAATAAACGGCAGCTATTTGCATTTACAGGCTCACGATCTCTTCTCTATAAACTCCCAGATCCAAAACAATTGAAAACCGAAAGGGCTTTGGTAACCCATTTGACAACAAAGACTGGTCGGATCTAGACTCATTTGACAGTTAAAGCTGAACTGAATTGCTACTAGACTATTTATATTGTATACTTACAGTTAAATATTTAGCTGCAGAAATATACATATGTTTGATTAGGGGATGCTACTCCAGACCCCATTAGGGGATGGTACATAATATGCAATGTTTGCACATTTCTTCTCTGAAATCTGGACAATTCTAAATCATGTTGGTTTAAAGAGTTTCAGAAAAAAGGAAATAGACCTATACTATGGTGAATCTCAGGCCCACATCCCTCATCAGGGGCAGCATGGGTCTCGCTGCTCTAAGGTCAGGGAATCCTGACCTTAGACTAGAGCATCAGCCTCAGAATAAGGCTCCCCCTATTCTGTAAGCCTTGGCTCCATCAGCCCTGCTCAGAAAAACGGCAAGGAGGAGTCCAATGTATTAGCTGTTAATGCTGGTATGCAATAATCTTGATCTCCAAGTTGCAAAAACCCAGGTGGAAGAGATAGAAATGTAAAGCAATCGGAATGACTACCATACCAAGTACAGAAAATATACGAGTTTCACGAGAAGTTTCAGGAGTCAGACTGACACTAAAGTTGATGGAATTTTAAGAAAAAGGATGCTATTTTTATTTAGCATTAAGTTATTTTTTTTCTATTGTAGCTTAATTTTGGTCCTATCTGAAGATAAAGCTGGACTTGAAGCCAGGATTTAGGGCATAATGGTATGGTAGTAGCAAGCCCCTGTGTCAGCAGCTTTCACAGAACAAGGAGAAAGTAAGATCAAGGTGCAACTGGAAATCTGGGTGTACAGGTACCAGAAAAGAAGATGCTCTAACTGAGGAGTCAGGATTTAGGGGGTGAGGTGGGTGGGGAGGGCAAGTGGGGAGGTGAGAATGTTTAGCCATGAAATTTGGAAGAGGTGAACTTGGTAAAGAGGAAAGAGGTGTGTGTAGGGATAGGCAGGACCATGCCTGTTGGGGTAAGTGGGCGTCTGTGCTGCACACGTACCTTACTGGTCCACATTCTCCCCCTCACCAAATCTCTCTCCCCCTCGCCAGGAACCTACTGGAATATCCACACCTGCATCTGCCATGGTGAAGATGGAAATGCACTCTCCCCAACCTGGGGATATCTTGGGCCCAGCACAGGGCACAGGTAACTATTACCCAAGCTCACTTTCAACACAAGGTTGTGCCCTCTTTCCTGGTGCCGAGGTCACCTGCAGGAGGCTAGAAGGGTGACCCTAGCGTCCCTGTGTTGGATGTGAATCCCAACCCTGTACGACCCTGGTCAGGTTACTTCATATCCCTGAGTTCAGTTTCCCCTTTCCTAAGATGGAATGATAGCCACTGCAGCTGACTCCCAGAGTTCTGTAAGGGTCAAACGAGACGGTTCCTGTAAAGCTGAGGCAGGACCCAGCGCGTGGTGATTTCCCCATCCGTGCACCCAGTGCCCACTGCTTGGTGGCAGCTCCAGGGCTCCCAGCCATGCCAAGCAGCCCATCTTGTGCAGATATCCACAATCCCAGGTAAGACGATTAAACCTTAAATAAATAACAGCATTTGCTTTTAGGGTCTCCCTGACCAGCAGCTGTTAATTTGGAGACTCATTATTTTCTTGACCATATTAATTTAAGCCCTCAGTCCCCAAATCTCTCAGCTAAGTAGCTTTGCCACTTCCTACTTTTCTACTCACAGCAAACTCATGCCTGGCTCCGTTTTCCAGCCTTCAGTGGTAGTGGTATCTGTGAGAGCCCCAGTTGTGCGGTTTTGCTTTGACAGGATTAACAGAGTGGAACCGGGACTGCAGTTACAGGCAACAAGG